TGGGTCTCAAAGCGGTAAATAGCATCTGATCCGGAGAGCAGCTGGATTTTGCTCTCTAATCTGGATGCCAGATCGGCCCCCTGCAAACTCTCGTCTCTCGAGGAGCGCTCCCTGAAGCGGGCTGGAAACTTTGGTTGGACTGCTTGAGAGAGGAGAGCTTGCAGGGGGGCGATCTGGTGTCTGCAATGGAGAGCAGCATCCGGCTTTTTCTCTCCACTGTAAGAGTGCTGTAAGAGCGGCAGCCCTCATCTCCTAATGCTTGGGACTGCAAAATCCAGCTGCTCCCCGGACCAGTCACCATTTACCACTCCGAGTCCCAAGCATTAGGAGATGAGGGCTGCCGCTCTTACAGCGGAGAGAAAAAGCCGGATGCCACTCTTATAGCGGAGAGAAAAAGCTGGATTTTGCTCTCCATTGCAGACACCAGATCGCCCCCTGCAAGCTCTCCTCTCTCAAGCAGTCCAACCAAAGTTCCCAGCCCCGCTTCAGGGAGCGCTCCTCAAGAGACGAGAGTTTGCAGGGAGCCGATCTGGCATCCAGATTAGAGAGCAAAATCCAGCAGCTTTCCGGATCAGACGCCATTTACCGCTCCGAGTCCCAAGCATTAGGAGATGAGGGCTGCCGCTCTTACAGCGCTCTTACAGCGGAGAGAAAAAGCTGGATTTTGCTCTCCATTGCAGACACCAGATCGCCCCCCTGCAAGCTCTCCTCTCTCAAGCAGTCCAACCAAAGTTTCCAGCCCCGCTTCAGGGAGCGCTCCTCGAGAGACGAGAGTTTGCAGGGGGCCGATTTGGCATCCGGATTAGAGAGCAAAATCCAGCAGCTCTCCGGATCAGATGCCATTTACCACTCTGAGTCCCAGGCAGCAGGAAACAAAGGCTGCCTTGCGCCACTCCTGACACAAATATACCAAGGCGGAATGCTACTGCCGTACAAATGAAAGTAGTGCTTCACTCCCACAGCTTCCAGCCATCGCAAACGCCGCTTCTTCCCGCTTCTGCCGCCCCCTCCCCCACCGCCACAACAGCACCATTCATTCCGGATGGCGAGGGCTGCGCTCGTTTTTCTGTATTGCACCACCATCAAAACCCCTGTGAAAGGGTTGTTTGACCCCCAACCACTGAGCTAAGGTAAGCAAGCTGGAGGGGGAAAAGTTTTTCTCTTCTCCATGGCTCTGGCGATCCCAGCTGAATTGCCTGATTAGCAGGCAAAGCTGGGATCATCAGAGCTGGGATCGCCAGAGCCATTTAAGGCTCGTCAGAGCCTTTCGGGCTGGTCTGCCTGGTTACAGGAGAACGACACCCGGCGTATAAGACGACCCCCGACTTTTGAGAAGATTTTCATGTGTTAAAAAGTCGTCTTATACGCCGGAAAATACGGTAGATCTACTGCAGCACTGAACCACTCCAACAGCTTTGGTGGTAGGCCCCTATAAACACAGTCCTGTCTTAGCTCCCTATCCAGGCCCATCCGAAACTGGTGCACTAAGAGCCGTTCAGGCCAGGACCGTAGGTGGCTGGCTACTGTACGGAAGTCCTTAACGTATTGCCTGGCAGGACGCCCGCCTTGCCTTAGGGCTACTAGCTCCCCTTCCAAAAGCTGTGTCCTTGATTGGTCCTCGAACCGGGAGCGTAATGCCTCTAGGAACAACCCTACGTTTGCCAGTTCTTTTGCATGATCACTGTGAAGGTCAGCAACCCAGTCTGCTGCCTCACCTGTGAGAACAGTGGTAATGGCAACCACAACCGCCCACTGTGACGGGTATAGATGGCCGTAGAGGTCCATATAACTCAAAATTTGACTGAGAAATAAAGACACTCTGTCTGCACTACCATCGAAGGTTGCCTGTATAGGGGGAGGGCCCCAAAGGTGTTGTTGCGGCTGGCCCTGCCCAGGCACCCACAAAGGAGGCGGGTCTGCCACCCGAGTATCCTGGACGGTACCCACCCCGCCTGCAGGCGGCCCAGAACGGTCGCGGAGGGCCGAGGGACCCATAGGTGGGGCCCCATGGCGACGCAGGGCCGCCCGGTCCTGCCCACGCAAAGGGCCCCCCCATGATGATGGAGCCGACTCTGAAGGGGGAGGCTCCCGCTGTCCAGGGCGATTCACTCCTCTCTCGATGCGAAGCTTCGGGCTGGCGAGATGGAACCGGGTCTCCGTACTGCTTCGGGTGTCCCCCTGCCAGACGTCCTGACTTGGCGCCCATGGCTGCCAAGATGGGGCGTCTCTGAAGCTTGCTTCTCCAAATGTCTCGCGTAGCACGTCCAGGGTGGAAGCTCCCACCCCCGTGGAGTAACTCCAATCACACTCTTCCTCCTCCATCCAACGCCGCTCCCTCCACCCCTGGAACGATGGTTCGCTCGACTGAGGGGTCAGCTGCTTAGTCCCAGCGATAGCTGAACTCTGCCACCACTCCCCCACAGCGGGCTTTCCATCGCTAGCGCCGGCTGGCCCCGCGTCCGTGGAGAGGGTCTCTTGCAGCAGTGGTAACTTTTCTTTGGGACGCACCACCTGCAGCTCCGTCGTCTGGACCGCCTCCACTACGGTGTCCCCTACGGACGCCTCCTCCAGCCCCGGTGCACCGGCCTCCGTACCTTCCGCCATACCGATTCCATTACCGGTCAAACCGGGGTAAGAGCAACGCCGACTTTCTGTCAGACTTGACGCCGTGAGCCTGGCCAAACCAGGAAGAAAATGCTACAGACAGCGGTTAGATGCTTCAGCAGTTTAATTCGGTCAAGCAGCTCCGGCGAAACCAAGCAGTACACATGCAATTAGCACAAAGTCGGCGTTGGGAGCGTCTGCCTCCCACGCCCTTTTAAATCCCCGCCCAGCCGCACCCACGCCCTTCCGGGTACAGCGTTCCTGGCGCATGCGCGAAACGGCTCGTCCCTCAATTCCAACGGAGGGAAGGTGTCAATCGACGAGTCTCCCTATGCCGGCCGCTACGTGACCGACCGCCTAGGATAACAAACACCCCCACCACCAATGTGTCTGTGAGTCCCCAAACACCCCCAATCAACCCCCTAAAGTTCTTTATTGCTGGTGGCTGTCAATCAGGGCTTCCTGCGTGCCGCTGTGGGTTGTATTGTCGAGGGGCGGTCTCGACACTCTGACGATCAGGATCATCAGAGGCATTTAAAAGAAAAATAGCCTCTGACGATCAGGCAACTCAGCTTGGATCGTCAGAGCCTTTTGAAAGCATTTTTTCTACAACCTCTAAAGAGGTTGTAGGAAAAATGCTTTTAAAAGCCTTTGAGGATCCCAGCTGAGCCACGCGATCATCAGAGGCTTTTTTTTTAACTTTTAAAAACATTTTTTTGGCCAAAGAGGTTGTACAAACATTTTATTTATTTATTTGTTTGTTTGTTTGTTTGTTTGTTTATTTGTTTATTTGTTTATTTATTATTTAAACTTGTATGCCGCCCTATCCCCGAAGGACTTAGGGCAGCTCACAACAATAAAAACAAGCAAAAACAATATTAAAATACCCAATAGGATTATAAAAGACCATTAAAATCCCCTTTAAAACCCCTTCAGTCCAAACCAGCTAGGCAAAATAACCATGTTTTAAGGTCACGGCGGAAAGAGCGAAGGTTAGGGGCCACCCGGAGCTCCAGGGGAAGCTGATTCCACACGGTAGGTGCGCCCACAGAGAAGGCCCGCTCCCTAGAGGTCACCAGCCAACATTATCTGGCTGACGGCACCCCAAGGAGGCCCTCCCTGTGGGAACACACCGGGCGATGGGGAGCTGTCACTGGCCACAGATGGTCCACCAAATACCCTGGGCCTAAGCCTAAAAAATGCTTTTAAAAGTTTAAAAAAAGCCTCTGATGATTGTGCGGCTCAGCTAGGTATGGGGAGGGGGCAGGGATTTTTGCTACCAGTTCTCCAAACCACCCGCCTCCATCGCTACTGGCGGTTGACCAGTGAGGTGGGGAATGCCAGCAGAGGGCCAGCTGAGGATAAACACCCAGGATGCATCGGCTGCAGCGGGAGACCTGTGGTGAACTGGGTGCAGACATGAGTTGGCCACAGCAAGTTGGTCCTGCAGGGTTCTCCCGTGGTGAGTCGGCTGCGGTGACCCTAGGCCAGAGGTGTCAAACTGGTGGCCCACGGGCCGGATGCATCACATGCAGGCCACGCCCACCCCAGCTCCGTCAAGGGAAAATCATCATGATACGTCATGTGATGGCAACGTGATGTGGTGAGTTTGATGGCAAACCTATGGCACACGTGCCGCAGGTGGCATGAAGTACCCTCTCTGTGGGCATGCAAGACATCGCCCCAGTTCACGCATGGTTGTCGGGTCTCTGCTGAGCATGCGCAGGGGTGGGGCACATGCGGGGGGTGCACACACATGCGTGGGTGGGGCATGTGCAGGACATCATGTGTGCATGCACAGGGTTGGGGCACATGCATGGGTCATGCACACACAGGGGTGAGGGCCATGCAGGGGGTCATTAGTGCATGTGCAGGAGTGAACGTGCATCGCATTTGGGGGGTTCATGCATGCTTTTGGCACTCCATCCAGAAAAGGTTAGCCATCCCTACCCTAGATCCTACTGCATCCTCTCTTCGGAACATCCCACTTTCTCAGCTAAGATCTCCCCCCACCATCCTTCCCTTCCGTAGGTAGCTGAAGACCGGACTCAATGGGGCACTTCCATGCTGGAGGGGGGCTGCTGGATTGATGGACAGACTCCTATTCCCCCTCCCTTGCTCGCTACTGTCCACCCATCCAACTGTTCGGTCATCATGTTGTTGTATTCTTGTACTGTATTTTGTTCTCATTATTTATTTTATTGTTTTATTATTCTACTTCTGTTTTGCTTACACTCTTTTCGTTTCTTCATTTTTATTGTAGTAAGTCACCTAGAGTAGGCCCATGGCGAAATAGGCAGCAAATAAATAGCATGCAGATATTTCATTCGTAACTCAAGAAATACTTATGGGAAGTTTCCTCTCTGTGGATTGGATTAAAAAGTGCCAGGGATTACCTGCCATGACGGGACATTGGAGATCCTCTTTCCAAGCCTCATCATGGCTGGTCGCATTCCTGATCCATGCATTGCATGTAACGCATGTGCCACAGCATAAACAGCATTGTAGATGTTGTAACTTTCACCCGTCATGCTTGTTTCAAACACGTAAGATGGCAGATTCTGTAAATTCTCCTTTCCTGTGCATTGTTTGTAGGACCTAGTTGGTTTATGGAACCTGCAGTTAAAGACCCTTTGCCACCATAGTGGGAGAAAGACGTCCCCTTGGGGCTTCAAAGGGTCTAAAGACAGGAGGAAACGGCTGAATTCGGGGACGTCCCCGGCGTGGTCTCTAAAATGCAAAGCTCCATGCAAGAGCTTTAAAACTCTCAAACTGTATGGATATCTTATCGCACCAAATGTCCAATGGGAAGTTATTAGCCAAACTTTCCAAAACGGGGACTTTCTAGAGAGTAAATCATCATACAAATGGCTCAGGAAAAATGAAACATTTCTAAAGTCTCCAAAGAGAATAACCACTTCAGCTTTCAATAAGATTTTGAGAAGGGAGTTTAAATCCAACTTTGCAATGTTATCAGAAATGAACAGGTTGCTGAAGGCCAGGCAGATCTCCTTCTCCTTCAGGATCGGCATCAAAATTGAGATGAAATGTTCTCCAATGTCATCTTCAGGGGCCACCAGCCCAACCCAGTTCCACTGGAAATACAGGAACAGCTGGACTAAACCCTCATACTGAGGAAATTCCTTGGGATTTATCCGGAAGAAGGAAGGATAAACTCTTCTGTCTCTTTGAGAGACCTCAAAGCCAACACCGAGCTGGAGAAAATGAGATTCAACGTAAGAATTTATGGTCTTTGCTTTCTTCGTTTCTTGTCCCACCAATCAACCCGACTCACTTTGAGTAGCAACCTTAAGCTTCTTCCCTTCTTAGGAAGAGCCACCAGTTACAGGAGTGGCCAAAATTATGGAAACCTTTTGGGGAAAGTGTATTTTTGAGATTTGATGGCTAATAACACCACTTTTTTTGGGAGTTTCAAGATAATCCTATTCCACTGCTGGAATGGCCTGGGAATAGCCCTGACCTTCTTAACCCAATTGAAAATCTATGGAGCCGACTCAAGAAACTTGTTAGTCAGAAGCAACCCAGCAATAAACCCAGTTAATAGAAGCCATCCTTCAATCCTGGTTTCACAGCCGTAGAATTAAAAGACTTGGTTCACTCCATGAAAAGACATTGTAAGGCTTTCATTCATGCTAAAGGTCACCCAATTAAGTATTAACTGACATGGTGATCATTTTTGTATATATCTCGTTTTTTCTACGCATTTCACTTTTCTTCTTTATACTGTAACTGCTATTCTAATAGCAAATCCCTCATAAAAGTTATTGCATTACATTCTTGATGAAATTATCTTTCCATTGATATATAATTTTATGGTACTACTCCAAAAAAAAAAAAGTGGTGTTATTAGCTAGTTTTAGAAAATATAGTTTTCCCAAAAGGTTTCCACAATTTTGGCCACTACTGTAACATATTTTGCCTGGCTGTGACATGTCAGATAGGAGAACAAACCTTCCACCTGATAAAATGAATAAACTGTATGGAAAAGGTAGCTACACTTTTATGAAGAATAGGTTAGGATGGAACCACTCCTGGAAAGTTTAGCGTTCAGAATTATTCCATTCTCTATTTCTTGGAGTTAGATTAAAACTTATCTTAACACACAAAATATAAAAATCAAGTCAACTACATCATGGATTCTTTAAGTCATGTACTCCGGATGTGTCCTACCCTCAAACCACATTTAGCTCCTGTGTGTGCTACTCTTATCCCAAAGGTGCTTTTTCCAAAAGGCAACTGGATTTTCTTGGTTTTTTCCTTAAATGAAAACCTTTTGCTTCTCATCCAAGAAGCTTCCTCAGTTCTGACTGAATGGTGGAGAATGGGAGAGGTTATATTCTTTGCAGTCATCTGGTCATTAGCACTCTTTCTGAGAGTCATTGAGGCCACTGGGAGATTTATCTGTACTCTCAGCATTATCTTAACAGTGCAAATAGATGTGGAACCAACCTTATTGGAACTGCTGAAAGGACTGTGTTGTGAACAGGAGATGGGTGGTGTCATATCCCTCCCCCTCTGTTGAAAGAGGGCTGCTCAATTTTAAAGTAGATGACCTCTTTGACTCCTCTTTCAAATCAGCAGTCTTCTCTGTCCATAATGTGGACTTTGCTGTCTTCAAAAGCAGTGAGCTTTGCCTTTCAAATGCAGATAGACTGCTTAACCCTGTCCTGATGGGTTTGTTCTCCTATGTTGTGCCATGTGTTTGTGAAGTGGTTGTTTTGTTTCTCCAATATACAGATCAGCACATGTCTCTACTGCATTCTACTGCATATACCAAATTGCTCAATTTGTGTCTTGTATTCTTGAGGTGGATAAGTGTCAAGTATTTGCAAGCCATTGGCACATGTGTCATATATACACCAGTGGAGGCAGAGAGTGTCTCCACCCCTGTGTGGAAAGGAGAGGCTTACCCTGAATATAAAACCCCCTCCAACCTTTTCCACCTCACTCTCTTCATCTCTCTCTTTTCATGTTTGTTCCTCATGAGACTTGATCTCTGTTGTACATAGTTAATATGATTTATCATATGAATAAATACGTTTAAGACATTTATTTATGCATCTGCCTCTGAACTCTTCTATGCTCCTGGGTGTTTCTACGATCCCAACTCCACAATAAGTTTCTGCCTTAATGTATTATTGGGTTTAAGGTGTGCATGTATCTTGTGTTGGTTGAAAATCCTCCTGAGTTTTTCAGATATTTTTGTATGGAATGGTAACATGCTCTGTGTCAAGTTTCCGAAAGATGCCCTAATTAATTCATGAGCCATGATCCAAACTTCAAAGGAAATATATTCATTTATTGGGAGCACCATTCCGGCAATACTCAGATGCAGTCAGGACTGATCCTACGTAGATTTACGTTCCCCTATGACCCTGTCTCTCCCCTCCTCTCTGGCCATGTCATAAATCACATTCTCCAATTAACCACTTTGGCTGGCTGTGAAACCTAACACCCTCCTTCTGATTTCGGTGAGAAAGAATGTATGGAATTCACTTCAGTTCTCCCTCCCTCCTGCTCATGGCAACTTGAAAGCTTTGCAAGTTGACACTCTGTTTATTGTTCTCATCTTTGTCTGTTATGGAGAAGCTCCTACTGGTTCTTTTTCTGAGTTTCAAGATAGCCACAAGCTGTGTGGGCTTCCTTGATTCCTAAAGCACATCAAGGAAGCCCTCAGAACTTGTGGCTTCTTGGATGAGAAGTCAAACATATTCAAGGAAAAAACCAAGAAATTCTAGTTACTTTTTGAAAAGTACCTTTGGGACAACCATGACCTGCATTGAGACTCTCCATGGACACTATGTGCTTCTCTTGTTTGTCTACCCCATACTGCCTCCAACTAACCCTTACTTGCGAGACCTTGAAGATGCTGAAGATGGAGGCCATCAGTCTTGAGAGTTTGGAGTTGAGACCTCCAATGACAGAGAGCAGAGGCTCCCGCTGGTCACATTTGTAACCTGGGACCATTTGTCCTCGTGTGGAGAGCAGGGAGAGGCTGAATAAGAAAATCCTCCTCTCCAACTTGTGATTGTCGTAGATGTGGAAGCCAAGGGTGATGTTGAGCAGGAGAACCGGATCCTTGTTGACCTCTCTGACTGCAAACATCAAAGCCAGGAACTGCTGGTAGTTCTTGCTGATGATGCTATTGTGAGAAAAAAACTCTCTTAATGGAGTGGAACGGAACGGAACAGAACGGAACAGAACAGAACAGGATATGGAATAGAATAGAATAGATAAACAACAGAATACATAAAAATTGGAGAACATTACATGTCAGCTTGTGTGTGGTTGGTGGGGTTTGTCTTGTCGTGTGTGTGTGTTGTGTGTGTGTGTGTGTTGTGTGTGTGTGTTCTATGGAGCAGCAAGTCCCACGTTCATAAGGCTTGTTTATTAAGGATCTTGCTTGATTAAAAAAATTGATAGTTTTATAAGACAGCAGAAACGTCTCTCCATCCAAATCCCGGACCATGTTATGCCCTTCTGTCCTCCCTCCCTTCTTCACTCTGCTCCAGTGGCTCTCATCCTTCCCAGTTGCTCCTTTTCCACCCTACTCAATCTGAGCCTCTCTTGGAGCAGCGTCTTCAGGTCTGCTAACCATTGCTGAGCACAAGGCTGCACAGACGTCCTGAAAGCCATTCTTCATCAGCTCTGCTGATTCCAACACTGAGTTTTATCATTTTTACAATACCCCACCCTGGAAAAGCTGTGAGCTTCTCCTTGAGCTTTCCAGCACGACTTTCAGTCCAGGTTAATATTATAAGTCAACTACTGAATTAGACCAACACAAGATCTCAGGCGTTTTCCTCCTTTATATCTTATGTTCTCCTCTTCCTGGGGAAGAGTTCTGGAAAGGTTGGGAATTCTAGCCTATTTTATGAATTTGGCTTTTTACTGAGAAAAGTAGAAAGATCTCAACTACACTGGGAAATTGCAAACCTCTCTAGAGGAAGGGCTTCCTAGAGGGGTCCCTGAGCCCCAAACAAAGCAAATAACGATCTACTTCTTTCCAGGTGAAACTTACTCCTTTCCAAAAAGACGTGAGAATAAGGTGTTTTCATAGTCTTGAAAATTGAAGGGATCAAAGGTCTGCAGGTTCAAATTCCCACCAATGATGAAGTCACCAGACCTGTAATAGTCCCATTGTTCCGGAGTCTGGAAAGGGTTTGTCAACACACATACACTTTGCTTCCTCTTAGCAGAAGTTGGAGGCAGGAGCCAGAAGAGCAGCAGCAGCAGAAGGAGAGGCAGCCCAGTCATTCTTCTTCTCACCTTCCCTCCTTGATCAGAAATCA